ATACAAACAATTATAAGAACATATTATGAGCAGCTATATGCCAGCAAATTAGATAATCTGGAAGAAATGGGTGCATTCCTAGAGATGTATAAACTACCAAAACTGAACCAGGAAGAAATAGAAAACCTGAACAGACCCATAACCAGTAAGGAAATTGAAACAGTCATCAAAAATCTCCCAACAAACAAGAGCCCAGGGCCAGATGGCTTCCCAGGGGAATTCTACCAAACACTTAAAGAAGAATTAATACCTATTCTCCTGAAACTGTTCCAAAAAATAGAAACAGAAGGAAAACTTCCAAACTCATTGTATGAGGTCAGCATTACCTTGATTCCAAAACCAAAGACCACATCAAAAGGGAGAATTACAGACCAATATCCTTGATGAACATGGATGCAAAAATTCTCACCAAAATACTAGCCAATAGGATCCAACAGTACATTAAAAGGATTATTCACCACGACCAAGTGGGATTTATTCCTGGGCTGCAAGGTTGGTTCAACATCTGCAAATCAATTAATGTGGTATAATACATTAATAAAAGAAAGAACAAGAATAATATGATACTCTCAATAGATGCAGAAAAAGCATTTGACAAAGTACAGCATCCTTTCTTGATGAAAACTCTTCACAGTGTAGGGATAGAGAGTACATACCTCAATATCATAAAAGCCATCTATGAAAAACCCATACGAATACCATACTCAATGGGGAAAAACTGAGAGCTTGTCCCTAAGGTCAGGAACACAGCAGGATGTCCACTATCACCACTGCTATTCAACATAGTATTAGAAGTCCTAGCCACAGCAATCAGGCAACAAAAAGAAATAAAAAGCATCCAAAATGGCAAAGAAGAAGTGAAACTCTCACTTTTTGCAGATGATATGATACTTTATGTGGAAAACCCAAAAGACTACACCCCAAAACTGCTAGAACTCATACAGGAATTCACTAAAGTGGCAGGATATAAAATCAATGCACAGAAGTCAGTGGCATTCCTATACACCAACAACAAGACATAAGAAAGAGAAATTAAGGAGTCAATCCCATTTACAATTGCACCCAAAACTATAAGATAGCTAGGAATAAATCTAACTAAAGAGGCAAAGCATCTGTACTCAGAAAGCTATAGAATACTCATGAAAGAAATAGAGGAAGACACAAAGAAATGGAAAAACGTTCCACGCTCATGGATTGGAAGAACAAATATTATAAAAATGTCTATGCTACCTAGAGCAATCTACACATTTAATGCAATCCCTATCAAAATACCATCAGGTTTTTTCAAAGAAATGGAACAAATAATCCTAAAATTTGTATGGAACCAGAAAAGACCCCGAATAGCCAGAAGAATGTTGAAAAAGAAAAGCAAAGCTGGTGGCATCACAATTCCGGACTTCAAGCTCTATTACAAAGCTGTAATCATCAAGACAGTATGGTACGGGCACAAAAACAGACACATAGATCAGTGGAACAGAATAGAGAGCCCAGAAATGGACCCTCAACTCTATGGTCAACTAATCTTTGACAAAGCAGAAAGAATGTCCAATGGAAAAAGACAGTCTCTTCAACAAATGGTGTTGGGAAAATTGGACAGCCACATGCAAAAGAATGAAACTGGACCATTTTCTTACATCACACACAAAAATAGACTCAAAATGGATGAAAGACCTAAATGTGAGACAGGAGTCCATCAAAATCCTAAAGAACACAGGCAGCAACCTCTTCAACCTCAGCCACAGCAACTTCTTCCTAGAAACATCACCAAAGGCAAGGGAAGCAAGGGCAAAAATGAACTATTGGGACTTCATCAAGATAAAGAGCTTTTGCACAGCAGACGAAACAGTCAACAAAACCAAAAGACAACCGACAGAATGGGAGAAGATATTTGCAAATGACATATCAGATAAAGGGCTAGTATCCAAAATCTATAAAGAACTTACCAAACTCAACACCCAAAGAACAAAGAATCCAATCAAGAAATGGGCAGAAGATATGAACAGACATTTCTCCAAAGAAGACATCCAAATGGCCAACAGACACATGAAAAAGTGCTCAACGTCACTCGGCATCAGGAAAGTACAAATCAAAACCTCAATGAGATACCACCTCACACCAGTCAGAATGGCTAAAATTAACAAGTCAGGAAATGACAGATGTTGGCAAGGATGCAGAGAAAGGGGAACCCTCCTACACTGTTGGTGGGAATGCAAGCTTATGCAGCCACTCTGGAAAACAGTATGGAGGTTCTTCAAAAAGTTGAAAATAGAGCTACCCTATGACCCAGCAATTGAACTACTGGGTATTTACCCCAAAGATACAAATGTAGCGATCCAAAGGGGCACCTGCACCCCAGTGTTTGTAGCAGCAATGTCCACAGTAGCCAAACTATGGAAAGAGCCTAGATGTCCATCAACAGATGAATGGATAAAGAAGAAGTGGTATATATATACAATGGAATATTATGCAGCCATCAAAAAAATGAAATCTTGCCATTTGCAATGATGTGGATGAAACTAGAAGGTATTATGCTAGGCTAAATAAGTCAATCAGAGAAAGACAAGTATCATATGACCTCACTGATATGAGGAATTTGAGAAACAAGACAGAGGATCATAGGGGAAGGGAGTGAAAAATGAAACAAGATGAAACCAGAGAGAGAGACAAACCATAAGAGACTCTTAATCTCAGGAAACAAACTGAGGGTTGCTGGAGTGGAGGGGGGTGGGAGGGATGGGGTGGCTGGGTGATGGACATTGGGGAGGGTATGTGCTATGGTGAGCACTGTGAATTGTGTAAAACTGATGAATCACAGACCTGTACCCCGAAACAAATAATACATTATATGTTAATTTAAAAAAGATATTTACTGTACATTTTAAGGTAAAAATATAAGTTAAAAAATCAATTATGTTTCTATATACTAAAAATACATGTGACCATTTACATTATCACCCTCTAAAAAAGAGAAATAGTTATAAATCTCATAATATATGTACAAGATGTATATAAGGAAAGCTATAAAACCAATTAAAGCAATCACTTTTAAATCAAAGAAGAACTAAACAAATAGAGATACATCCCATGTTCATGGATAGGAAGACTCAATATTGTCAGGATATTCATTCTTCCCAACTTGATCTAAGGATTAAATGCAATCCCAATCAATATAAGAGCAAACTATTTGATGGATATTGACAAACTGATTCTAAAGTTCATATGGAGAAGTTAAAAATCCAGAATAGCCAACTCAATGTTGGAGAAGAACAAAGTCAGAGGACTGACACCATTCAATACAAGACTTACTAGAAAGCTACAGTAATTGAAACAGTGGCATTGGTGAAAGAATAGACACACATATCAATGCAACAGAATAGAAAGTCCAGAAATAGACCCACATAAATACAGCCAACTGATCTTTGGGAAAGGAGCAAAAAGTCTTTTTAACAAATGTTGCTGGAGCAATTGGACATCTGGACATCCATGTGCAAAAAGAAAAAAATTGATTCTAGACACAGACCTAACAACCTTCATAAAAATAACTCAAATGTAAAACACAAAACTATAAAATTCCTACAAGATATCATAGAAGAAAATCTAAATGACCTTTGATATGGAAATGACTTTTTTATAAATAGACTTTGTATTTTAAAGCAGTTTTAGTTTCACACCAGAATGGAACAGACAGTGCAGAGATTTCCCATACCACTCCCTGTCCCCACATATCACTCTCTCCAATTACCAATATCCTCCACCAGAGTGGTATATTTATTACAAATGATGAACCTACACTAGCATGTCATTAACACCCAAAGTCCATAATTCACATTATGTTTCACCCTTAGTATTTTATAGTCTATGGGTTTGGACAAATATATAGTGATATCCACTTTTATAGTATTATACAGAGTAGCTTACTGCCCTAAAAATGCTCAGTGCTCTGCTTATTTATCTCTTTCCACCCTAACCCTGGCAATCACTGATATATTCCCTTCCCCCATAGTTTTGCCTTTTCCAGAATATCATGTACTTGGAATCATGCAGTATGCAGGCTTCTCCTTTTGTTTAAGCTTCTTCCATATATTTTCAGGGCTTGATAGCTCATTTGTTGTTAGCACTGGATAATATTCTGCTGTCTAGGTGTACCACAATTTCTTTATCCATTCACCTACTGAAGGTCATCTTGGTTGCTTTCAAGCTTGGCAATTATAACTAAAGCTGCTATAAACTGTGAGGAGGAATCTGTTCCAGGCCTCTTTTCTAGCTTCTGATAGCCTCAGACCATCCTCTGATTGTACATGGCATTCCCACTGTGTCTTCACATCATATTCCTTCTGTGTATGACAGCTAAGCTAAGCTGTGCCTGAATTCCCGGTCCATAGGAACTATGAAATAATATGTGTTTCCTTAAAGTAAGTTTGTGGTAATTTGTTATTCAGCAAGTTCCCCTGTTTATATAGCTCCAGGCCATTCTCTTATCCTGATGCAGAACAAAGGTACCCTCCACCTTTCTGTACATTGGTCCCCTTCCCCTCATCCCATATGGCAACGCAGTTTGTAATTTTCATACTTTGGCGTCAGTACATATTGCTAAAAGAGTGTGTAATGAGGCCCCACCTTGATCTAAAACCAGACCCTCAGAACATCTTCGGCCAAGACAAAGAACATGAGAAAGGATGCAAAATTTCTTTCCAGGAACTTCGGTTGAAGACTTCCAGGTGATCCAGCCTGAGAGTTCAGTTTCAGTCAGAGCTGGAGAGATCTTAACACTGGGCTGCAACGTGTCTGCTCAATCCCCAGCAGGGCCTGTCTTGTGGTTCAGGGAGAATGGGCAAGAACGACACTTAATCTACAATTTCAATGGAAGCCAATTCCCCCGAGTAACCCAAGTGGAAAACACAGAGTTCAACCAAACAGACTATTCCATCCGCATCAGTGATGTGTCACCCAAAGATGTGGGCACCTATTACTGTGTGAAGCTAACAATAGCGCACCCTGACATGGCGTATGTATCTGGTTCAGGCACCTTTGTGTCTGTGAATGGTGAGTACACCCTGACAAACTCCATCCTCTTGGTTTATAAAAATAAACTTTTTAAAATCTGAAACATGTACCAAATCATCACTACATACTAGATTCTGTGCCCCTTCAATCACAAACCACCCTATAAGTTAGATTCTGCAGATGGCCCTATTAATTAACCATTCTGTGGTCCTGTGCCTAATATTGAATCAAGCCATGTTGACAGGCCATGCCCTGCCCTGATGGCCAACTCCACCAAACCAGTGACACATGACAAGGGAAACTCTCACATAAAAAGACACCAGGTTGGGGCGCCTGGGTGGCTCAGTTGGTTAAGCGACTGCCTTTGGCTCAGGTCATGATCCTGGAGTCCCTGGATCAAGTCCCGCATCGGGCTCCCTGCTCAGCGGGGGGTCTGCTTCTCCCTCTGACCCTCCCCCCTCTCATGCTCTCTCTCTCATTCTCTCTCTCTCTCTCTCAAATAAATAAATAAAATCTTAAAAAAAAAAAAAAGACACCAGGTAGGCACAATACAACTACAGGTGTGCACTTTATGATCCAAAAAATGAGAAAAACAGACCTACATGGCCAGCTGGCTTTTCTAAGGTCTGGGGGACAATCCTGGGATGAGAGCTATCCACTGAGTATCTTCTAACCTATGCTCTGAGACCCATTTTCCATTCACTGACCCTTGTTGCCATATCTTATCTTCCAGATTCAGGATGAAATCTTAACACGGGGTAGAGTTTGCCTCCTAAGCCCAATACCTCCTGAGCCAAAGCAAAGGGATCCACAGGCAGGCAGAATCTCTACAAGCCTGCACAAATCCACTCACCCATTTCTCACTGGAATGTGAGTGAAGCCTGGTGGCAGGTCTCTGAGGGGCCACCACAATGCAGTCAGGACCCCGTTCCCCACACAGGAAGTCAATGAGTGGGTGTGGTCTCCTACTACGGCTTCTGGAGAGCCAGGAGACCAGAAGGACGGGTCTTGAGTATCACCCACCCCCACATCTTGTTTGGAAAAGCTGTCCTAGAGGGGTTGAGTCACTCTCCTGGCATTTGATCTTTTCCTGCTCTGCCCTAATCTACCCCCAGCTCTGCTATTCTCTTCTCTGAGGACAACCAGTGTTTGCTACTTCTTGCCACTCTCTGGATTAATTATGTTAAATGCAGTGAGATTAGTGTGTCTATCTGTTCTTCTGGGAGAACTAGTCTTCCTCAGTGATGTTCTCTTCAAGTCCAGTCACATTCCATGATATCCAACTGGCCATGGAAAATTTACATATGTCCCTCAAGCCAAAAAGTGTGAGTGTAGGCAGCTTCCCCACATTGTCTCCCAGCCTCACCAGACGAGTTCCCTTGTCTCTCTAACCCACACCTTAGCCCATCTGTGCTTTTGATGGTTTGCCAACCTGAAAGGAGAGAGATTACCAGGACCTGACTAATATGGGGTAGTGATGGTGGTGGTAGTGGGTGTTGGGGGTCAGTTGTGGGCCCTCCAAAATTGATAAGGTCCCTTGAGGTTCTACTCTTTTTTCTTAAGAGGAAACTGTCTCTCTCTTCCCCCTTGCCAGATAAGCAGAGGAACCATACTCTGCCTGCATGCCTCTATTTAGTAGTCTTAAATGGCTCCTGAATCTCTAGGTTTGTTATCTCTTGACTTACCCTTTCTCCACACCTCTCAGCACTAATATCTCCACAAATTCAGTGGCTGCTCACCCTTCAGAAAAGAGATGAGGGTCAATCCCAAACTCCCTATAGGTATGAGGTCGACAGAGGACACTTGGACCCATCTCCAAATGTATTGAGTGATTTTTGGCATTTAGATGGGAGAGGGACTGGTCTCTCTCTATAAACACTATCAGTACATAATCCCAGTCCTCTCCCTCCCTGTCCTCCTCTTTCCTTGGTTAGGGGCTGGGACGTGGAACTGGGGAGGTGATACATCTGATCCTCTGCACTGACTCCTCTCCCAGGTCAGGAGCTTCCACCACTTGCAGAGGCCTCTCTAAACTCAGTGTGTGTGTGTGTGTGCACACACGTCATTAACAGAAGTCATGAATGAGGCCCACCCATGATGTGGATCCTAGTTCTTCAGTCCTGCCTGGGCCAGAGCACGAGAAATGGGAAATGATTTTGCATTTCTTTGCAGGAACCACACATGAGATATTCCAGGTGCAACAAGCTGAGATGACACAGACTGTATCAACTGGAGAGACAATCATCTTGAGTTGCAGTGTACCAGATTCATTTCCAAAAGGACCTGTCTTATGGTTCAAGGGACATGGGCCAAACCGGGAATTAATCTACAACTTCAAAGAAGGTTTCTTTCCCAGAGTAAAAGAAATTGGACACCCCACCAAACCTGACAACACAGACTTTTCCATCCGCATCAGTGAAATCTCTCTTGCAGACGCCGGCATCTACTACTGTGTGAAGTTCAAGGAGGGGAAACCTGACACAGAGTTCCAGTCAGGTCCGGGCACCAAGGTGTTTGTGACTAGTGAGTTTGTCTCCTCCACCCCCTGTTATGGGCTATCATCTCAGTTAACCAATCCTCTATTCATTGAATTACTAGATTATGCTAAATATTATTGAAGGTGCATTATACATTTGATCTGTCATTCTCTCAGCAACCTGTGAGTTAAGTGTTTTACAGGAGGAGAAACAGACTCAGAAAGGTCAATTGAATGGTGAGGGATATTTTGGTTGACATCCCAATATTGAATAACCCACACCCAATAGCTAGATTTAAACCATTTAAGGTAATTTCATGACTCCCTACTAGTGGTTAACTCAAATATGAGACTGGCTTAAGCCAATTTGTGTCCATAAGTGAAAAGGACAGACTTGCAGAGAAATCTGGGAAGCTAATACAATTCTCTCTCCTGTTGGCTAGGAACAAGGAATCAGTTTGCCCCAGGTGCTCCAGAGAGACATCTTATGACCATGAGGGGAACCAAGTTGAGGAAAAATCTGCTCTAGAGAAGTGCAAAGATGTAAAGAATGTGGGTTGACAACATTGCACAGCCATATTGTTCCTGGTTCCAACCCCACTTCTGGACCTCCGATAATGGGAGAGAAAACATCTTGTTAAGCCAGTTTGCTTAAAGTCAGCACTGTCCTAAGGGATGCCAGGTGATAAAGTTCCCACATCCACAGAGCACTGAAGTACAATTTCAAACCATTTTTTTCTGTTCCTAAAGCCTTACTTATTTAATTTTTCTATTTTGTTATAACCTCTGAACTCTGAGCAACATCCAGCTTGAGAAATGATTAAATTGGTGTTACTACAATACTACTATTTGTTGGGCATCTACTGTACACCAAGCATCTACTTTTCCCATATTATTGTATTTACCTGCATAGCAACTTGAGTATAAGAATGATTATCTTTATTGTGTGAATGAAGAAACTGAGGCTCAAGGGAATTCAGGGGTACAGATAGTAGGAGAAAAAGATAAAGTTGGTCTGGGCTCTCTCCAGCATGCTCTACATATTAGTGAAGAACCTTTCCTTACAAGGGATAAAAACGAAAAATATTAGTTTAATGTGATCCTGTAGCTGAGGAGGATTCTAAGTTCCTCACAGAGCTTTAGGACTAAGGACTCAGTGCCACCAAGACTCTTATTCTTTGAAATTCTTTCATCTCTATTCATCTCTGCCTGGCTTTTGCTACACATAGACCTTATCCATATAATGGAAGAGATTAAGTATAGAAAATGTTGACATTCATTACCTCATCCTAGCAGCCAAGATGGAAAGAGAGCTTCTTATTCCCAGCCTCCACAAATGAATCCCAAGGAGTCATTTGAAATCGCCTTTCCTATGCCTTTCACTTACTCATTATTATAAGGGAGAGGAAGTGCTAGGTAGGGAATCCACCAACCCAATGATATAAATGTTCAACAGGCTAAAAACAACATTTATGTCCACCCCAAGGTCCAACCCTTCAATGTAACATATGAGGAAGTTGAGACCCAGAGACTGGGCTTACCTAAAGTTACACAGGGAATGGATAATAGAACTCAGATCTCTTACTCCCATAATCCTTGGGTTTATGGCTCTGTCTTCTTCCTAATAAGAAGATTCTAGTTAGATTTGGAAGTGTGGATGTACATGAAGATGATTTAGAGGAAAAATACTGTGAATAAGTTCAATCTCCATGTTAAGAGCCAAAGAGTAATAAATATATTAAATTTATACCATTTCTACATAATAAGTAAAAGGTATATATATATATATAGTTTTAAATACTGAGCTAAGTATGTTTGCTATGGTTGCTGTAACTAATCATCACAAACTTTGGGGTTTAAAACAGGAATAGTCTTATGCAGTTGGTATGACAGTGTGAGAAGCTCCATGCATCTACTCCAAGCTACTGGTGAAAATTATTGTTTTTAAATCATTTAAGGTACTGACATCAGTAAAATGACAGACTAAGAAGTCCCCAAGCCTTCTCCCATGGAGACATCCAAATAACCACACTCTATGGGCCAAAATACCTTTGTAAGAATGCTAGAAACCAACTGAGAAGCAGCAGCACCCAGGCCAATGGAAAACCAAGAAGGGATTCCAGTGAAAGCTGTAGGAAAGTTTGCAAAGTTTTGTACACTCATACGCCACCCCCAACCTGGTGTAGCGACACAATTAGGAAGAAACCTCCCATACCTGCTCCACCCTCAAGATGGAAACAGAACAGACCATGCATCAAACAATCTGGATTGTCTGGGGGCTGCCTGAGGGGATGGTTTCTGTGTCATCTGATTCAGAGCATAGTAGGAACAGCAGAGCAGTTTAGAAGCGCAAATAATGAATCATGAAACACTACATCAAAAACTAATGATGTACCGTATGGTGACTAACATAACATAATAATAAAAAAAAAGAATTTAAAAAAAAAAGAAAAAGAAGTGCTGAAAACAGAGACCATCAAAGTGGCTCAGAGCTACAGACATTATGCAGTTCCACAAGATGACACCAGGAGGAATAAGATTGTGATCTCCTGAGAAGAAAAAACAAGCTGTTTAGGGAATTTGAGACAGCTAAAAAAACACACACATTGAACATTATATCAAAAACTAATGATGTACTATACCTTGGCTAATTGAATTTAAATAAAAAAATTAAAACACACACACAAAGACAGTATATTCAACAAATGGTGTTGGGAAAACTGGACAGTGACATGCAGAAGAATGAAACTGGACCACTTTCTTACACTATACACAAAAATAAATTCAAAATGGATGAAATACCTAAATGTAAGCCAGGAAACCATCAAAATCCTAGAGGAGAAAACAGGCAGCAGCCCCTTTGACCTCAGCTGCAGCAAATTCTTACTAGACATGTCTCTGGAGGCAAGGAAAACAAGAGCAAAAATGAACTATTGGGACCTTATTAAGATAAAAATCTTCTGCACAGTGAAGGAAACAACCAACAAAACTAAAAAGCAACGAATAAAATGGGAGAGATAATACCTAGAGGGTATTATACTAAGTGAAATAAGTCAGTCAGAGAAAGACAAATATCATATGATTTCACTCATATGTGGAATTTAAGAAACAAAACAGATGAACACAGGGGAAGGGAAGGGAAAATAAAATAAGATAAAAACAGAGAAGAAGGCAAACCATAAGAGACTCTTAACTATAGAGCACAAACTGAGGGTTGCTGAAGGGGAGGTGGAGGGGAGGATGGGCTAAATGGATGATGGGCATTAAGGAGGGCACTTGTTGGGTTGAGCAGTGGGTGTTATATATAAGTGATGAATCACTAAGTTCTACTCCTAAAACCAATACTAGACTATATGTTAACTAACTTGAATTTTAGGAAACAGTCAACAAAACTAAAAGGCAACTCATGGAATGGGAGAAGATATTTGCAAATGACGTAACAAATGAAGGGCTGGTGTCCAAGATCTATAAAGAATTTCTAAAACTCAACAACCAAAAAACAAATAATCCAGTCAAGAAATGGGCAGAAGACATGAACAGACACTTCTCCAAAGAAGACATACAAATGGCTAACAGACACATGAAGAAGTGTTCAACATCACTAGCCATCAGGGAAATACAAATCAAAACCACAATGAGATACCACATTACACCAGTCAGAATGGCTAAAATTAACAAGACAGGGAACAACAAATGTTGGCAATGATGTGGAGAAAGGGGAACCTCTTACACTGTTGGTGGGAATGCAAGCCAGTATAGCCACTCTGGAAAACAGTATGAAGGGTCCTCAAAATGTTAAAAATAGAGCTACCCAATGACCCAGCAATTGCACTACTAAGTAGTTACCCCAAAGATACAGATGTAGTGAAAAGAAGGGGCACATGCACCCTAATGTTCATAGCAGCAATGTTCACAATAGCCAAACTGTGGAAGGAGCCAAGGTGTCCTTCAACAGATGAATGGATAAAGATGTGGTTCATATACACGATGGAATAATACTCAGCCATCAGAAAGGATGAATACCTACCATTTGCATCAACATGGACGGAACTGGAGGGGATTAAGCTAAGTGAAATAAGTCAAGCAGAGAAAGACAATAATCATATGGTTTCACTCATAGGTGGAATATAAGGAATAGCACAGAGGACCAAAGGGGAAGAGAGGGAAAACTGAATGGGAAGAAATCAGAGAGGGAGACAAACCATGAGAGACTCTTGACTCCAGGAAAAAACAGGTTTGCTGAAGGGAGGGGAGTGGGAAGATGTCGTAACCGGGTAATGGGTATTAGGGAGGACATGTAATGTGATGAGCACTGGGTGTTATATGCAACTAATGAATCACTGAACACTACATCAAAAAACTAATGATGTACTATATGTTGGCTAATTGAACTTACTAAAATAAATAAATTTTTAAAAATTTATTTTTGGCAGATTATATCATTAGGATAAAAGACATTTTTAATGCATAAGTTCCTACTCCATACATCTTTGTGGATAGTTACATTAAACCTAAAAAAAAAATTCTGTAAAATACACACATACACACACACACACACACACACAAGCCCAGAGAAGTCACATCCCCAGAAAAGGCTTGAAAGGTCCCAGAACTTCTAGCCAGGCTGACTGAGGAAGGTATTCTCCTGCACTAAGCCATTTCATTAAAAGGTGGTTATCTTAGTCCATTAAAGCTGCTATAACAAAATACCACAAACTGAGTAGCTTATAAATAATAGAAATTTATTTCTCATAGTTTTGAAATCTGGAAGTTCAATATCATGGCACCAGCATGATCAGGTGAAGGCTCTCTTCTGGATCACAAATTTTTTATTTTATCTTCACATGGCAAAAGGGTCTACAGCGTTCTCTGGGGTCTCTTTTATAAGACATTAATCTCATTCATAAGGTATCTATTCTCATGACCTAAGCACCTCCTAAAGTCTCCACCTACTAACACCATCACCTTTGGGGAGTTCAACAAATGAATCTGGGGTAGGATGCAAACATGGTTTTTTCAAAGTCCCAAATCTAAAAAAAAAAAAAAAAAAAAGAACCAAGAAAACATGGCTCAATGAAATAAAAATTATAAAAGTCCAGAAGTCAACACTAAAGAAACTCAGATCACTCTACTTCCTGCCAA